TACCAGTCAGATCCAATTTGACGGTACACACACACACACACATAAAAACAAAAAAAGAAATATTTAAGAAGTGTTGTTGTTGTTAGCCATCAAGGCACTTGTGACTCATTGTGACCCTATGTACAACAGCTTTGCACTCTGCCCTATCCTGACCCAACCTCATTGTCTCTGACACACATACTCTCATTACCCCAGTCAATCCACCTCACCCAGGGTCTTCCTATCTTGCACTGTCCCTCCACCCTCCCAAGCATGATGCCCCTTTTCACAAGTCCTTTTTCAAGGATTGGTCCCTTCTTGCAACATGACCAAAGTATGTCAGACGGAGCTTCAGACTCCTTGCCTCCAAGGAGCAGCCTGGTAGGCTCTGGTAGGAAACTGCACTGCAATCCCAAAGGCACACAGTTCAAATCCACCAGCTGCTCTGCAAGAGAAGGATGGCCAATCTCCTCTCATGCAATTAATTGCCTCTGAAATCCCGCCGGAGAGTCAGCTATGGGTTGGTTCCAACTTGATGGTAAACAACAACAACATATAGTTAATGACTGTTGACATTCATTAAGTGCTATCCTGAAAGGGAGATGTTGCTGTTGTTGTTAGGTGCCATTGTGTTGACTGTGACTCATAGTCATCCTATGAACAATTCTTAATCTTACTCTATTCTACACCATCCTCATGATCTCTGTCATGCTCAAGCCCATTGTGGTAGTCACTGTGTCAATCCATCTCATTGGGGTTTTTATTCTTTTTCTCTGACACTTCACCTTTCCTAGCATGATATCTCTCTCTAGGGGCTTGTTCCTGAGTATGTCCCAAAGTAAGTGAGACATCCTTGCCTCTAAAACACACGCTCTGGTTACATTTCCTTCAAGACAGACTTGCTTTTATCCCCCCCTAACATTCCATGGGATATTCAATAATCTTCATCTACACCACAATGGAAAGACATCAATTCTTCTTTGTTGTTGCTGTTTTTATGCTCCATTGAGTCATTTGTGACCCAAAGCAACCCTAAGTACAATAGTTCTGATTATCCTGAGATACTCTCACTGTCTCTGACATATCTGTCCCCATTGCCCTATGTCAATCTCTCTCATCTGATATCTTGCTCTCATGCACTGTTCCTTCACCATTACAAGCATGATGTTAGTCTCTTTGGACAACAAATATGTGAGATGGACAAGTATTTGTCCAAAGTATGTAAGATGGAGTTTCAAAAGCCTTGCCTCCAAAGTGCAACTTGGTTTCACTCCCTCCAAGTCAAATCTGTTTGTTCTCTTTGCAGTCCATGGATTATTCAATACTCTTGTCCTGCAACACAACTTAAAAGCATCAATTCTTTAATTCTTCTTCTGTCATCCTTACTTATTGTCCAGCTCTCTGATGCATAATAAGTATTTGTGAAAATTATGGCCTGTATCAGGTGCATGATAGTCTCTAGACTGACATCTTTGCTCTTCAGCACTCAGGAGAAGTCCCTGACTCTCCAGGGACACAGTGAAATGTACAGGACATAATTGAAAAGGTACTACTTGGATCAGGTGCACATTAGTCTTTAACTCACATTGTTGCTCTTTAGCACTTGGGAGAGATCCTTGACAGCAGATTTTACAAATGTGGCATGTCTTTTTATTTCTTAACTGCTAGTATCAAGCATGTTGTTGATTGAGGATCCAGGAAAATTGAAATTGTTGACAATTTCAATCTTTTCTCCATCTATCATGATGTTGCCCAATGAGTCTATTAAATTCCCAGAAACCAGTTAAGGACATTCCATCTAACTTGAATTTCTTTGGATTAAGGGGATAAAGGAAGATGTCTACTTGTTAAATTTTCCCAACATAGCCATTGAGAATAGAACTGGTGGGCCCATAGTCTGTTTTTCCCCCAGCACACAGCAGAGCTAACAAAATCTGACTGTTTCCATGAGAATCTTACTTATAAGATCTGCAATTCCTTGACCTGAGTCAATACAAATAAAACTGAGGAGACTAAGTAGTGATTTTGAATTTGTTGAGAAAAATTCAGCCATGGCTATTGTTTGACTGACCATGTGCAGAGGGTAAGAGGATAGGGAGGTATGCTGCCCAATTCTATGGAAGTAGTTAGATTTGTTCGTTACTATTATTAACCATAATGACTGTTACACTTTTCTAAGTAAACCAGGGTATCTTTTCTTCTCAGCAAATGTTTCCCCCTAAGGTTTAGTTTTGGTCTTTACTCAAGAGAGATGGATAGCCTTTACAGAAACACTGGCTTAAGAATGAGGAACTAGCTCTGGGCTGGGCAATACCAAGTATGGAGTAACTTTGCATAACAGGAACTTTCTCAAAAGCTGGCTTTTTCAAAGAGCCAGGATTCAGCTTATTTTTTTCAGTGCCCCAACTCTTCTGACTTGCACTTCTCTCACCTGAATAGAAGTGGTGACATGCAAATCTCTAAAATTTGCCTCTGGTCCTCTCACTGATGTGTTCTAATCATCAATGTTATTTGAATGAATTATCAGGATGGGGAATACAGATGGAGAAGGGGAAATCGATGAACAGTGTAGAGACTTCACTTCTACAGCCACCTTACTTCCTCCACAGAGTGACATGCACTGGCTTCTGCTTCCCAGGGTCTGACTGTAAGAGAAGCAGCTCAGTCCATATGTAAAGAGGAAGTAAGCTGTATCTTGTCCTTCTCACATCAGTACTGGGGAGGAGAGTCTCTAAAATAATGGAATAAATAAAAGTATTTTCAGGAATGTTGAAGGATGTCAATCCAAAAATCAATGCCTCACTAACATCACTGACTAGAAAAGCCTGGCCACTAGGTACTGGTTCTTACATTGGCTCAGAACTTGACTCAATACTAAAGTTCAGAAATGTTATGAGTTTAGGACATAGAAAACAGACTGTTAGTTACTCTCCTTAGGATCTGCTGGTCTCAAACACATTTCATGAATTTTATGTAGTATTTGATTTAGAGATTGAGATTGTACACAGCTTTAGTTTGCTTGGCTCCATAGTCAACACTCTTGGCACCAGTAGCCAGGAAATTAAAAGGCTCATTGCCATGGGAAAGTCTGCTGTTAGGGACCTCTCCAAAGTACTGAAGAGCAATGGTGTCTCTCTGGAGACTAAGGTGCGTCTGATACAGGCCATGGTCTTTGCAATCACTTGTTATGCATCAGAGAGCTGGACAATGACCAAGGAGGATAGAAGGAGAATTGATGCCTTTGAGCTGTGGTGCTGGAGAAGAGTATTGAGAATACCATGGACTGCTAGGAAAACAAACAGATTTGTCCCGGAAAGGGTTAAACCGGGTGGCTCCTTGGAGGCAAGGATTCTGAGGCTCCGTTCTAACATACTTTGGACATGTTTTGAGGAGAGACCGGTCCTTGGAGAAGGACATCATGCTTGGGAGGGTGGAGGGACAGCTCAGGAGGGGAAGGCCCTCTATGAGGTGAATTGATTTAGTGACTGGGATAATCGGGATGGGAGTGTCAGAGACAGTGCGATTGGCACAGGACAGAGCAGAGTTTAGGGCTGTTGTGTTTTAGTCATACTGAAGTCATTTTTCAAATGTAAAAACTTATCAAATATAAGCAATTTTGAATAGTTCAAGCTAATAATAGTGAGACAACTTTGCAAAACCAAAATCTTTTTGGTCTATTCAGAAGAAGGGGTCAGGAAAGGAGGCTGACAGTCCTTGTAGGGTGTCTGTGACTAGACATACTTGGCACTTGTGTGAAGGACAATGACCATTGAGCATTTCCTGTGGGTTGGCAAATAGTTAAGGTTCTTGGCTTCTAATTGAGAGGTGGATGATTGGAGTAATCTCAGTGACACCTCTGAAGAAAGACCTAAAACTCTGCTTTACAAAAAACCTCCCACTGGAAACTATCTGGAGAAGCTATCAGGGCAACACAAATGCGCTCAGCAGGAGTCTGAGTGGTTAGGTGCTTACCAGCTTTTCCTAAGTGCTGGGCATGAGACTAAGTGAACCACAAACAGGCCAAAATGTCTTCAGGTTCATGATCCTGGAGACCCCCGTGTGTGCTAAGCACTTCATTAAACTCAAAAAGGATTTGTTCAGGTAGCAGAGGAAGCCTGGATCCACATGCAGGTAGAGAAGCGACTCACAAAGTGAAGCTGGGGCCTCTCACAGGCCTGGCACCACAATGAAAACCCTCAATAAACTGGTTTGGTGGACTTCACTGAATCCCCCAGTTCCATGGGGTAGAATCTGGGCTTCTAGTGAGATGGCTAAGAAAAGATGCCCTCTTCCCTCATCTTCCTGGGTCCTAACACTTCCCAGTTTGAGCCCACCAGTAGCTCAGCAAGAGGTGCAATCTCCTCCGTTGAGATTTACTGCCTCTGAATCCTGCTGTAGGGTCAGTTATGGGTCTGTTCCGACTAGAAGATATACAACAGAAATATCAGGGGCAAATGACAAGCCTGGGTTCTCCTCTTCCTTCTAAATACCTGTGGACTTTGTCCTGAGACTGAGATGCCCAGGTAGGAGGACATCGCTACTGCCACTTGAAGCCACCAGCTCAGCAGGAGTCCTGGATCATTGGCTTAATGCCCATCAGTTGGAGAAACAGATCAAAAGAGGGGACAGAACAAGATAGTGGTCACTTGCCCTAACCTCTAGGGACTCTCTATACTGCTCTGGATTGGGGTGGGCAGCCCCTCCTGCATGAGCAGGCGGGAACTCTCCTAAGGCATCCTGCCCTTCTGCTCCCTGTGCTCTGCGTTCACCAAGGAGCTCTAAACCCGCTCAGGAGCTGTTTTCCATGGCACTGCTCCACCAGGAAGGGCCATCGCAGAACCCAAGTGCTCTGCATTCACCAAGGAGCTCTAAACCCGCTCAGGAGCTGTTTTCCATGGCACTGTTCTGCCAGGAAGGGCCATCGCAGAACCCCAGAGTCCCCAGACGTGGATGCAGCTACAAGGGCCCTGACAACACCGCCCCCAGAAGGCCCTCCTCCCCTCTTTCCCAAGTCCCCTCACCGCGCCACGCTCGAAGTCGTTGTAGAAGGGTTTATCCAGCAGGTGCTTTTCGCTGCAGCCTGTGGAGCCCACCAGGCTTAGGTAGATGTAGTCGTCGGTGCCCGCGAACCACTGACTGCCGGTGGCAACAGTGACAGTGTAGGAGGGCATAGTGGCCCTACAGGAAGGGCAGCGGCGGCGCGAGCTGGAGGGAGACTCTGTGCGCTAGGCGTCCCAGCTTCTGCAAAGATGCAGGACTCTTGCCTTCCCCCAGCCCCACCCCCGACCACTGTGACCCCGCCCCCACCGTCCTCTGCCCGCCCCGCGAAGCTCTGGGCGGGCTGGGGACCCACAGTCCACCAGGGCACCAGTTCCCATGTCTCTTCTGGGCTTAGTGCTTATTCTGTAGTCCAGAGCTTGGAGCAACCTCGGCGTACTTGTTTCCTGCTTAGGGTCCCTGGTCTCTGTGTCACTACTCCCATCCTTCTGAGCCCCCTCTGGAGTGCAAGCGCGCTCTATGTGGGTGCCTGGAGTGCCACTTGAAGGCGCTCCTGGGAGCAGTTTCTGTTAACCTTTGAAGGTTTCATGCCCAGCTGTGAGAGATAATTCAGCAAGTGAAAACCAGTACTAGAACCTTCATTAATCAAGCACGCAAACTTGCTCTGCTGATGGTAGAAAGGAAAAAAAAATCCACCCACCCCCCTCATCTTGGGGGAAAATTACTTGGAGTGCATTATAGACCAATTTTCATCAGTGACAGTAAGGAAGGTGAAGTCATTTTCGTGTGGTACCATAATATGTCAAGTAAAAGATTAATGAGGTTAGTTTGTATATTTGAGCTATTATTGGCAAAGTTGTTTGAAAGAAGGGTGACAGAGGTTTGCCATGAACTCTGTGTTATGTAGGCATGTCTCTGCCTTTCTGCCTCAGCTTCCCTAGTGCCAGGTTTTTGGGGATCTTGTCCCTGCCTTTACCAAGTTATCAGTGAGATTATTCCTCATGGTCAGGGAGTGTGGAGGGAGAAGGAAGGCCCACTTGGGGAATCAAGAAGGTTTCTGAAGGAGGAGGCCACTCTCCTGAGTTGGCTTGGAGGGTGGAATCAGAACCACAAAGGTTCTGACAAGCATTGCTTTTCTCACAGATTTTGAGTGTTTCCTTCACGCAGTGTATAGTAGGCCGGGTACAGGAAGCTCTGAGGTGAACCAGACACCAGCCTTACTCATTTGAGGCTCAGTATACAGTGAAGTGGGAACGCTGGTGGCCTAGTGGCAAGAAGCTGAGATGCAATTCCAAAGGCACGTGGTTGGAAGCCACCAGTCTCTCTGTGGAAGAAAGATGGTTGGGCAATCTCCTCCCATACAGTTAACTGCCTCTTAAAACCCACTGGACTGTTGGCTAAGGGTTGGTTTCAACTCTACAGTACACAACAAAAACATACAGTGGGGTACAAGCAACAACCTAAAAGAAGCCAAGAAATGTCAATGTAAGGAGCTGTCTTGAAGTCAGTTCATTTGGGGAGGCAAGGGGTGAGGATGCTGAGTTTTCCTAGCCTGGGCACTGAGAGGCCAGTAGTGTGGGAGGAAGGTGTTCAGACTTGTTTGGAGATGGGGCATCAGAGTAGACACAAGCCCAGAGAAGAAAAGGTGGACTCCACAGAAAGCATGTTTCAAGAGTTAAGAGTCCAGTAACTGGGAATAGACTACTCTGTGTGGCAATGGATCAATTTTCCTTTTGGCCAGAGATTTTTATGAGATAGACACAAGCTTTCCACAGGCCATAAGTTTCCTGAAAGCTGTGACTGCTTCTCAAGTCTTATGTGTCCTCCTTTACCATCACCACAGGAAGAAGACTCAGGCTCCTGCTGTGCTACATACAGCCTCTGAAGATGTTATAGAGTTTTCTGAAAACCCACTAACAAACAATGGTTTGGGGTGTGAGATTTTTTTACACCAACACTGGGAGCCCTGCTGGCATACTGGTTAAAATACTCGGCTACTGATTTCAAGATTGGCAGTTTAAACTCATCAGTGACTTCATTGGTAAAGATGAAGTTGTTTTGCTTCCATACACATGGTGGCCTTGGAACCAATGGAACCCTATGAGGCAGTTTTGTTCTGCTCTGCAGGATAACTATTAGTTGGAATCACCTTGAGGACAATGGATTTGCATTTTTTTGTACCATCACTAAAAGAGTCCTTGGAGGTCAGGGGTTAGGCATTCAACTGCTAATCAAAAAGTCAGTGATTCAAACACACTAACAGCTCTCTGATGGGAAGATGTGACAGTCTGTTTCTGTAAAGATTACAGCCTTAGAAACCATGTAGGATAGTTCTACTCTGTTATAGAGGTGCTTGAAAACAGAATTGACTTGATAGCAATGGGTGTACTAACACTAACACTAACACTAACACTAACACTAACAAACACTAACACTACCACCAACCAGGGCTTTGAACTAGTTCAAAGTGATTCAGCCTTGGCAAGTTCAGTATAATTAGAACAGACTTGAATTTTTTAAAATTTAATGAAGTAAAATGATAATGAGAACTGGAAAAATTACAGGCCAAAGCCCTGGAATGGGAAATTTGGAAGAGTTCTCCTTTTCAGTAGCCTATTTTGGAAGATTGGGTTATTGACAAGACTGTAGAAAGCTACAGATATTCAGAGCAACATGATTGACATTTCCATTTCTGACTCTACCATTTAAGAGATTTGGTGACTCTGTAACTCACATGCTGCCCTTAATTTCCAAGAGGGAGATTAAGTTTCCAGAAGAAAATAAACTTGTAATTTTTCCTGTTCTGATTATTTGTTTGCCTACATTTTAAAAATTTGCACACAGACTCCTTTATTGTTGAAAGTTGAGATTTGAATTTGTTCTTAACGTCTATCAGCTTGAGAAATATCAAGCATATTCTTCTCTTTTGTTTTTCTAACTCTAGCTCTTTGCACATATTGTTTTAATATTTTGCATTGTCTTCTCAAACTGCCCTCTGAAACCTTCTTTTAAGCTCTTTGACATCAGCATTTCTTTCCTTTGTTTTGGTCTTTCTACATTCTACTGCTATTTTTTAGAGTTTCTTGTGATGTTCATTTTGGTCTTTTCTTTCTTCTTTGCTTAGGTAATTTCCTTTAGTTCTCTTCAAGAATGAACATGGACATTCCTCCATGCCATCTTACAACTCATCTGAGTTTCTGTTCTCGTGTTCAGTACATCAGACCTATTTTTAGATGATTATTAAATTCAGGTAGGATAGACTCAAGGCTATATTTTGGTCCTTAGGGACTTTTTTCAACTTCAGTTTGAACTTCTACATTACTCAGTCAGCAGCTAGACTGGTTTTGACTACTGATATTGAGCTTTTCCAATACTTCCTTCCACAGTTGTATTAAATTTGACTCCTGTCCATGAGTATAGTCTTTGCTTGTGTTTCTTCTAAAAATACTATTTTCTGTGAATAAATCATTGAAAAGTGATACATATGGATTTCACCTGATGGTATGCATAGAAATCAGACTGATTACATCTGTGGAAAGAACCACTGGAGAAACTCTATATCAGCTGTGAAAATTAGGCCAGGTGATGATTGTGGAACAGATCACCAACTACTCATATGCAAGTTCAAGCTGAAGGTAAGGAAAATTAAACCAAATCCAAAGGAACCAAAATATGACCTTGAGTCTATCCCACCTGAATTTCAGAACCATCTCAGGAACAGGTTTGAGGCCTTGAACATTAATGAATGAAGACCAGATTAATTGTGGAAAGATATCAAGAGTATCATCTAGGAAGAGTGGAAAAGGTCATTATAAAGACAGAGGAAGAAGAAAAGACCAAAATGGATGTCAGAAGATTACACTGGAGGGCAGGAAGCCAAAGCAGAAGGAAGAATTCAAGATACTAAAGAGATAAACAGAAGATTCCAAAAGGCAGCACAGGAAGACAAAGTAAAATATTACAATGAAATATGCAAGGAGCTGGAGTCAGAAAATCAAAGGACCGAACTCACTCAGCATTTCTTAAGTTCAAAGAACTGAAGAACAAATTCAAACCTCAAGTTGCTATAATCAAGGATGCTTTAGGCAGAATATTAAATGATCCATGAGGTATTAAAAGAAGATGTAAAGAATATATTGAGTCACTGTATTGAAAGGAATTGTAAGATACAGAAGAATTTCATGAAACAACATATGAGCAAGAGCCTGTGGTGATGAACGAAAACATTCAAGTTGCTTTGAAGGATATAGCAAAAAATAAGGCCCCAGGAATAGATAGTATGCCAATTGATGTATTTTAACTCACAGATGCTGCCCTAGATGTGCTCACCAAGTTGTACCAAGAAATCTGGAGAACAACCACTTGGGCAATTGACTGGAAGAGATCTATATTTGTTCCCATTCCAAAGGAGGGTGACCCAACAGAGTGTAGGAATTATCGAACAATATCACTGATTTCACATGAAAGCAAGATTCTGCTGAAGATTATCCAAAAACGACTGGAACAGCACATCAGCAGAGAACTGCCAGAAGTACAGGCTAGGTTTAGACAGGGTCATGGTACTAGGAATGTTGTAGATAATGTTAAATGGATCTTAGCTGAAGGCAGGGGATATCAGAGGAATATATATCTATGTTTCATTGACTATGCAAAGGTGTTTGACTGTGTGGATCACAACAAACTATGGCTGACTCTGAGAAGAATGGGAATCCCAGAACACTTGATTGTGCTAATGCGAAACCAATACTTGGACCAGGAGGCAGTCATCAGAACAGAGCAAGGGAGTACTGTATGGTTCAAAATTGAGAAGGGTGTATGCCAGTGATGTGTCCTGTCACCATACTTTTTGAACCTGTATGCAGAACAGATTATCCAGCAGGCTGGGCTCTCTGAGGAGAAATGTGGGGTCAAGATTGGTGGAAGATCTATCAACAATCTGCGATATGCAGATGATACAACCCTGCTTGGTGAAGCTGAGGAGGACCTGAAGTACTTGCTGCAGAAGGTCAAGGACTGCAGTCTTCAATATGGATTGAGTCTCAAGATCAAGAAGAAAAAGATTCTCATCACTGGACCAGTTGGCAGCATCAGGATGGATGGTGAAGAGATTGAGATTGTTAACAGCTTTAGTTTGCGTGTCACCACAGTCATCATTCTTGGTATCAGCAGCCAGGAAATTAAAAGACATATTGCAATGGGAAAATCTGTTGTTAGGTACCTTTCCAAAGTACTGAAGAGCAATGGT